CTTGAGATTTAAACCCACAAGGCCACAAACGTACGGAGTATTACATCAATGATTAAACCCAACAATCATGCGATCAAAATATTGCAGCGGAAAAGAAAAAAAAACTTGTGACATGAATCGTCTCATTCTGACTAATAAGCATATTATCATAATAAAGAAGAACTTTCAGATATCATCAAACCAAAACCCAGACAAAGTGCTTATTTGTCATCCGGTAAAAAAAATTTCATCCGTTAAAAAAAAAATTAAGGTGCTGAATTATTGATAAAAGCTTTAAAATTCACATATATGAATCCGCAAGAAAATTTCACAAATCGGCACTTTAAATAATACGTAGTAATAACGTACAACATATGATTTCAATAATATCAAATTTCGGACATCACAAATTAAAACGAATTCCAGACATTACTGATGAACTCATACGTGGATTCAAACAATTTCATGGATCTATAATGGTAGGCTCTGATACCAATTGATGGATATTCATATATATATCAACAAAACTCCATATGCGATATATATATAAATATATAATAGCTAAATCCATATAAATCCATGAAATCAAATATGTATGAAAATAATACTAACCTTGAGACCCCATGTGTGGTTGAAGCAAACTAAGAAAAACCAGAGAAAATCCAAAGAGCAATGAATCGGCTGCCTTCCAATGCTATGTAACTATTTTTCTTATGAGATAGCTTTTAACCTTATAATTGATGGGATATTATAGGGCTAGCTCAACATAGTAACGGTCGGCCTTAATGACTCTCCATTATTCCATCATTATTGACATGATTAGAATGATTTATTAGTCTATTTTCCGTTACTATGTCGTTACAATTATCTCTTTATTTACATGCACCGGGGGTCATAACCGTTGTATCACTTTAGTGTAATATATTTAATTTGACCCGTCACCAAAAGAAATATATTATCCTGGTATCTACACTTTTATTATTTCATGAATAGCCACTTTATTTTTATTATTTATCTGATGGTAAACACATTTTAATTAATTACATATTAGGCCCCTTTTATTGTTTTCCAACAGGGTGGGCTAAATGTTAAAAGTGAAAAAATTTACCCTAAAAAAATTGAAAAAAATCTATGTTGCCCTGAGCTTCAGCCTACCATAGCCCGTACATAGATCCTCCCATGTCAAAAATGCAAAAAAAGAAAAAGAAAAAGCAATATTTGGTTTTTTAATAGTATGCAAAGAAATCGAGATTTATTTTAATTGTCTTATATCATTAGAAATATTCGTTAGTCTAACTAAACATAGGTTTTTTTATAGTCTAAATACATATAGGTTGGAAAATCATTTCAATTAATTATAGTGTATAATATTTATAAATTATACGTATTATATATTAATGTATTGTTAGGATGATTTTATTTTTAATTTTCAGTTGAAATATAAGTTTATACGGAGTATATTTCAATAATAATGGGTTCGATTTCATATGAATCTTTAATATAATAATTTTTATTTAACGGTTCTCTTTATGTTGCAGTATCAGAAGTAACAAATCATGAGAGTCTTGAAAATATTGAATTGCGTGAAGATGGTGAATAAAGTTACCATAATACCCATGTTTACAAGGAACAATTGGAAATTTGTAGACTATTGAATGCTTATTGTGTTATATATTTATTGCTTTTTATTCCTTTATTATGATGGTTTCTGTATATTCCATCTATACTGTTTCCATTCATTTACATATTAACTAACAATGTTAACAAATAATATACTGTGGCTATTACTTATTAAAGAAACATGACTTTATGCATGGTCAATTGTATGTGGCAGTATATAGAGTGACAAACTCTAAGGGTTTGAAGATATTGATTTGCGGTCAAGATGAGAAAAGTACTGACCGTACTACAAATGTTGTTTACAAAGAAGTTTTTTGAAATGTTTACTCTTTGTAGATCTCATTGTATGCTTCAAATGTTTACAAACAAGTGTTTCGAAATTTATTGTGTGTTTCTTTTTTCCCTCTTATCCTAATATATAAATCGTACATATTATTAGTGATAATTATAGTTTTCTCTATAATTATTGTATATTGTTCATATATATTACATGCCTATAAAAAATATCATCTGTATATGCACTAATAACGTTAATAAATAAGATTATATAACTATTCGATAATATGGACCGCGCATCGCGCGGGTGAAAATCTAGTTAACAATAGAAAAACGAATTTAAAAGCTCTCCAAAAAAACTATATTTAATCCTAGAGTATATACTTATCTGGCGTGACTACTCCATATTACTCCGTATATACGAAGTATATTGCCACCCTCGCTAAGACTACAATTAGTATATAACTAATTTTTAGCACGTTCAACATGTTATACAGAATTAGGCCTCTCATTCTATGGAGTCCTAATTTTTTAAAAAATTATTAGTATTACATAAGAATAATACTATGTATATACTAATATATACTAATCAGTGAAACAATATATTTTGTCAGACCTTTTACTCCTGCATGTTGTTTACTCAAATTGTTTGAGTGATGAGTTGTGTTGCTTTATATCAAGTATTAAGCGATTTTTAGAATTTTTTATTACATCATTTGAACACCTAAGCAAGTCATTATAGTACCAAAAACAATCTGATCAAACACACTTAGCCACCTTAATAAACACAACAACTTAACAAGATCATGTCTACTAAAAAAAGGGAATTTATAGTTTGATTATTATGGAGTATATTTTAGGGGTGAGCATAACCGCATCGAACTAGTACCGAATCGAATAACGTGTTCTTAAAAGCTTCCACATCTTTCTATCCCAAGCCAAAATTGTACCACTTGAAATGGATGTGGGAGGGTTCCAAATATTGAGAACTAAATAATGACTGAACTGATCTAGATTAATATTCATTTATAATTTTTTGTACTTTAACCGTCGAAATAGAGCTCCTATTCAACCCAACATCTTTAACTTTTATAGCCCAACATTATTTCATTCTGATATTAACTAAAGGTGAGAAACATTTCTATTTTAATGATAACACTATGCCAAATGTATAATGAGTTTTTCATAAGTTTGATCATATATCTTATGATTAATTCTAAAATGATGTGCTAATACATATATTTGTTAGCGTGGTCCTTTACTATACTTTGTTCTTTTGGTGACATGATATTAAGATAATGAAAAGAGAATCTCCATTCAAATATTGAAAGCATACATTGTATTGATCAGAACAAGCACTTCTTCAGAGACCATTAACATGTATGGTTGAATAGTTTTATTCCGAATGTATTACGTAGTAGTATTGCTATTATACCGTATCGAAAGAGCATGGTATGGATCATACTCATCTATTCACTATTAGTAATCCCACCCCTCGTTCTCGTCTAACTCAATTAGAAATGACACTTCATCCACATTCATTTCACCTTAAAAAAGCTCCTGAATCGTATCTATCTCAATTTCACCACGTAATTGATGAAGTGTTGTGAGTTGCTTTGTCTCAACATCACAATTTTCAATTAAACTTAAGCAATCAATAATATCATTCGAACACATTTTGAATTTCTTAAAGGTGGGTCTTGAGGATATTGGTTCTGCCGAATCCATATTAGATCATACATTCCATTTCTTGCTTCGAAACTAATATTAAAGAATAACTAACTACTTAATCACTTGCTCCTAATTGAATTTAAAAGAATTGGTTGAGAATTTACAATTTTAAAGGTACTCTAATTTCTTTCACATCCAGAAGTAGTACAAGTTAAACTAAGGATGTTGCACAGTGAGATAAGAAGAGTCTTTCGAAAGACAACAACAATGGTTATCAAATTTCAATAAACAATCGGATTCCATTATGCTTTTAAAAACAAGGGCGTGTTTGTCTCAATTGTTGATTGTCTATCTTAGTTTGAATATAGTTTCTTGGGCTTGTGTAGTTTGAATACACTTTCACGGTTTCACAAACCTCTGTATCTAGCTAGAAACCTCACTGGCTGAGAAATCGGTTTGATTTCAAAAAACGTCACTCTATTCAGAAACCACTTTGGGAAGTGTTATATGGGAAAAACTCAATAGAGATATCCCTACTAAAAATCCCCGGTCAATCATGTGTTTTTTTGTAGTGAAATATGTTTTATTCTCCAAACAATATTATGTAATCCTATTAAATTAAAGGACTAACTTGATTAAAACTTCTTAAAGTAGGAGTAAATGTGTCATATTTTGAGAATAAAACATTGATAATCTTATTCATGAACTTTGTCGTTTAAATCCGGAATTTTCTCGCAAGTATTATACCAATTCAAAAAAACTTGCTCAAAAGACCTTTACAGATGAAATCAACGGCAAACCAAAGCAGTTTTTTTATTCTGATGTGATGGCATAAATAAATGAGGTAAAATGAGAGTATCATTTTTTGTAAGTCATTTATGGTCGTCGTGAACCATATTTTTTGTAACCCATATAATAAATATAATACGGAGTATGTTATACATAGTATTATACTGGTTAATGGGGGCGTAGCTCACCTCATAGGAAGCTAAGGGAGTGTCACAAGGGAGAAATCTCAGGTTCAACTCCCAGGGCCGGCCCAAAGGGTGTGCCAGCGGTGCGACCGCACAGGGCCCGCCCATAAATTTCGAGGGCCCAAATTTTCAACAGCCCTCCTTTAGTATCACAACAAATAGACCCCAATTTTCAGATCCCATGCTTCACAATAAAAAATTTTTAACACCAGGGGATTCGAACCCTGGTGGGTTTCTTATCCATGAGGATGGTAAACCAGCTCAACCATTAGGTTGTTGTTAACATCCTCTCAATTTGTAGTTTTATATCATATAAAGTATAACTAAAAACTCATTAGATTCTAAACTCATATATGTCATCCACTACAATTATTAATATTAATTTGTAATTATAATTATAACTACTATTATTTTTTATTGCATGTCATTATTAAATTAACAAACTATTAAATATGTATCAAATGCTCATTACGTCTATCAATTATATTGATGTTAGGGAATAGTTTTATTTTAACTATTAATTTATAATTCAATTTAACAAATAAATGAAGTGTATTTTGTTAGGGATAGTTTTATTTTAACTATTATGTTAGTGAATAACTTGTATTTTGATATATATGAATTATTATTGTAGCAAATTTTTACAAATATAATCTTCACTTATATTATATTTCTACCTATTTTAGGAAAATGCCTACATTTTATTTTTGCACAGGGCCCGTATTTTCTTGGGACCGGCCCTGTCAACTCCAAGCAATGACTTGGGATGAAGCCTCACTCTCTTTCCATTTGAGTGAGATCAAAGCTCAATTAACATCCTCCCAGTTAGCTGTCCAGTCGGTGCTGGGGAGCACTCAAGAATGATGTGTCATTCTTTTTTATTATTGCATTGGTTCTTCAATTCTTATATCGTACCTAGTAGGCAATATAGATGGGGTTGGCAGAGTTTTTGTAACTTTCATTACTCAAACAATTATATCACTAATATTTTTTATTTTTTTATACTTCACTTTGAATTTTTCCACTTTTAGTCTTTTAACTACTATGCGAATGATACTTTTGATATCCGTCTTTGACAATTTCCATATTTAGACATTCGATTTTAATTAAAGTGACACTTTTGATCTTTCAATTATTGCCATTGTGACATTTTTAGTCCTCCAGTTATTGTGTCAAAATCTGTGAAAGGAGTAAAATTATCAATTTGATAATTCTCAGGAGATTAAAATTGGGAAACTTGGAAGTCGAGACTAAAAGTGTCTCTTGCGCATTAATCGAGGACTAAAACTGTATATATCAATATGAGCTTCGATTTTACATTTAGACTGGGGCCTCCAAATTAATTAGACGGGCTATGCGTCTCTAGAGGTGCCCCATCTCCTCCATCGAGTACACTACCGATCTCTCACGTTTTGTACTACCATGTTTGAATAATAATAATCACATTTCCGTATAAAATGATACTTTCATATTAAAAATTATGACGCTTCATATGAAATTAATATAGCAGCATTATAAGATAAAATGACGTTAAAACCATAATGTAAACTATGAGAAAAACAAAAGTAAAATGGTCATGACGAACATGGTTATTTTGAAAATGTTGGTGTCATAAAAATGATATTATTTGTTATGTGCGTAAATATTATCAGTTTATAAATACAATTTATTAAAACTAATATTGCCATTTTGATACTCTGTATATAAATGTAGTTTCTTAAAAGATGAATTGTTTTCAAATCAATTTCCAAATAAAAAATCAACTATGGCTTTTCACGATCCAAAATTATCAGAAGAGGCTATCTAGCTAAATGTTTAAAATAAATTAATCGAGGTTGATAAAAGGAAGTTACAATGAAATCTAACAATTTCCGATTATGCAAAACAGTTGGTCGCAAAACAGTTTTTCTTAAAAGTATAAAAAAAGTAAATAAAAATTAATCACATTTAAACTAGTCACACGTCCGAGTTAATTTCAATAACTTAAAAGTGGAGTAGTATTTTTCTCACTTTTTCTAATAACGGAGTATAATTTATAAGAGAATAAATAACAAATTCAACAAATGCATTATACTACGTACTAAAATGATAAGGTGTCATCGTACAATACAAAAAACGTTGGGTACCGAAACCCACTTAATTTGGAGGTGAACGTCGAAACTTTAAAAGTTGTATACTATCGGACCGGACCAAAATATAAGTAAAAAGTGTAAAAATGGGATTAAGTGTTGTAATTTATTCTTTTAATGCTATTAAAAGATAAGTTGATAAAAACTTCCTAAAATTAGGAGGGAATGAGTCATCATATTTTGCAAATGAAACAATGATAATCCTATTAGTGAATTTGATCATAGTTTTGATCCTCTTTAGAGATTTTTTTTTTTTTTGGGAAATTCCAATTTATTGTGGATTTGCGTATGACAGTTTAATTTAAAAAAGTTCTCCGAAACAAGAGTAAACAAATATTTGTAATTTTCAAAATAAGTCATCATATGATCATGTTCAAGATTTCACATTTCAAAAGAAATTTTATTTATGCACATTACACTAAAAATGAGTTAAAGATAGCTAGAGGATCGAGGCATATTGTAGACCATCTCGAACATCTTAAAGAACGTACTCCGTAATGTTTTGCGACATTTTTAAATAAAGTCAATTATGTAACTATTTTTGTACACCTTATGAATAAGAATTTTTTTAATTTTAGTTCCTAACTCCCAATTATTTTAATTGTTAGTTTTAAAATTAGTTTTAATTTTAACCCTTGCAAATTTAATTGCATAGTTAATAAATTTTACAATTTTACAATTTTTTCATCTGAAAGTACATTGGGTTGGGTGTATATAAAAAATATGTGGGCCGAAAAAGATACACCTGTATTTTCGGCATGGTAAGAAAGGTTTGTTTTTTTGTCTCTCCCCAATCGGTGGTACATCTCCTCCATCTAAAGTTTTGTCTCCTTGTTAGCTAGTTCTTCTTCTTTTAGTTGTGTCCCTATTTGCGATATTGTCCTACTACTTTGTATAAAATTGAAAAGTTGCATTGTTTCTTCCCCTTCAATTGCAATTTGCAAAGATTTATTGTTACATGCTTACATAATCAAATTTACTAGTGAATATAACTACAAAACTAATAACGACACATCCCTATAGAACTTAAAACTCTAATCCTCCCCATAAACAAGCATAAGATCGGTTCCAAACATTCACGTCAAACGTGCATGTGCTTGTCAACCGCAATCGACCAACCTCTAGTTACTAAATTATCATTCTAAACTATCAAATAAGTGAGGGAGAAGAAGATGGAAGAGGAGGAGCTTAGGAGGAGAATATCTTACCGGAGAAATCGTCGGAAAACCGGAGAACTTACGACACATGACCGGAGTGACTTTGCAGAAGAGAAATTAACCATCGGCGGAAGAGACTAGGAGAGAAAAGTTTGCTTGATGCCAGAGATGGGGATAAGAGATGAGATGAATTCAAAAGAAATTATGAATGGGAAGTGTTGAGTTTAATCCAACACGATATAGTAAATATATGTATAAATGTGTATGAACAAACTATTTTTACGTGGAAACCCGAAAGGGAGAAAACCACGGGACTTTTTAGGCTAATGTCCAAGCCCTCTCAATTCTCATTAGGCTCTCCTCACCATTACATAGTACATTTTGAGCTCCATTCATGGAATATTTGAGCTATTCTAGAGGGAGAAGGAAGAAGGAAGTCCTTTACATGGAGGGAAAACCTCCTATAAATAGGGGAAGGGGAGAAGGGGCTCTCCACCCTAATGGGTCAAACGGGCCAGAGTGGGCCCAAATGGCTAAAGTGGGCCGGATGGGCCGAAATGGGCCTAGCTGCTCGGGCTCCGTACTACGTAAAGCCTTGGACTCATGAACAGTAATAGGCCGGGATAATATATCCCAACACAAGTCCCCCAGTTTCTTGAGTAGTGAGCTCGCGAATCTGCTCGAGAAAATATACTCTGCCTGCGCTCTTCCTCTGTCTTGCTGGAAACTGTGTCTTCACATAATCATCATATATGAGTGAGTGTCTGCACTCCTGAACGTAATCTACCAGTGAGGCACCCCCCTTCCCGATAGGGTCGGGCGAAGGGTGCTCCTCCACGGGCACACTCCCCCTGAATGCATCAGGCGGGAGTAAAGGACTCTGACTCGAGCTTTCCAATCGGAGAAGCTTAGAGGTCCATCATCTATAACTCGACGTCGCGGTACTATCAAAACATGATGCACGTGTGTATGTATGAATGTATGAGGTATGATGCATGAATGTATGTATGCATGTAATGTATGTATGTAATGTATGAGAGAGGGAATGCAAGATGTGATAGAAGCAGTAGCTCTCATCGATAACCCGGGCATGTCAGCGCCGACAAGCAGACGTGCTGCATAAGACGGGTCCCCCATCCGAGATGGCATGGGCGGAGCCGAAGGTGGACTAGACATGATGCCGCCGAGGGGCCAATCATGCTGCATAAGACGGTCGATCGCCATCCTGGAGGGGATGCGTGATCCGAACGTGAAAGAGACACGATGGCGCTGAGGGGCCGATCGTGCTGCATAAGACGGTCGTCGCCATCCTGAAGGGAATGTGCGAGCCGAACCGTGAAGCCAGGTACGATGGCGCTGAGGGGCCGATCGCACTGCATAAGACGTTCGTCGCCATCCTGGAAGGGATGCGCGATCCGGACGTGAAAGAGACACGATGGCGCTGAGGGGCCGGTCGTGCTGCATAAGACGGTCGTCGCCATCCTGAAGGGAATGTGCGAGCCGAACCGTGAAGCCAGGTACAATGGCGCTGAGGGGCCGATCGCACTGCATAAGACGTTCGTCGCCATCCTGGAAGGGATGCGCGATCCGGACGTGAAAGAGACACGATGGCGCTGAGGGGCCGATCGTGCTGCATAAGACGGTCGTCGCCATCCTGGAGGGAATGTGCAAGCCGAACCGTGAAGCCAGGTACGATGGCGCTGAGGGGCCGATCGCACTGCATAAGACGTTCGTCGCCATCCCGGAAGAGATGCGCGATCCGAACGTGAAAGAGACACGATGGCGCTGAGGGGCCGATCGTGCTGCATAAGACGGTCGTCGCCATCCTGGAGGGGATGCGCGATCCGAACGTGAAAGAGACACGATGGCGCTGAGGGGCCGATCGTGCTGCATAAAACGGTCGTCGCCGTCCTGGAGGGGATGGGCGGCCCGAACATGAGCCAGACACGATGGCGCTGAGAGGCCGATCGTGCTGCATAAAGACGTTCGTCGCCATCCTGGAAGGGAATGGGCGAGCCGAACCGTGAATCTGGACACGATGGCGCTGAGGGGCCGATCGTGATGCATAAGACGTTCGTCGCCACCCTGGAAGGGATGGATGAGCTGAACGTGAGCTGGGTACGATGGCGCTGAGGGGCCGATCATACTGCACAAGACGGTCGTCGCCATCCTGGAGGGAATGGGCGAGCCGAACCGTGAACTGGACACGATGGCGCTGAGGGGCCGATCGTGATGCACAGGACGTTCGTCGCCACCCTGGAAGGGATGGACGAGCCGAACCGTGAGCTGGGTACGATGGCGCTGAGGGGCCGATCATACTGCACAAGACGGTCGTCGCCATCCTGGAGGGAATGGGCGAGCCGAACCGTGAACTGGACACGATGGCGCTGAGGGGCCGATCGTGATGCACAAGACGTTCGTCGCCACCCTGGAAGGGATGGACGAGCCGAACCGTGAGCTGGGTACGATGGCGCTGAGTGGCCGGTCGTACTGCATAAGACGGTCGTCGCCATCCTGGAGGGAAAGGGCGAGCCGAACCGTGAACTGGGTATGATGGCGCTGAGGGGCCGATCATACTGCACAAGACGGTCGTCGCCATCCTGGAGGGAATGGGCGAGCCGAACCGTGAACTGGACACGATGGCGCTGAGGGGCCGATCGTGATGCACAAGACGTTCGTCGCCACCCTGGAAGGGATGGACGAGCCGAACCGTGAGCTGGGTACGATGGCGCTGAGGGGCCGATCATACTGCACAAGATGGTCGTCGCCATCCTGGAGGGAATGGGCGAGCCGAACCGTGAACTGGACACGATGGCGCTGAGGGGCCGATCGTGATGCACAAGACGTTCGTCGCCACCCTGGAAGGGATGGACGAGCCGAACCGTGAGCTGGGTACGATGGCGCTGAAGGGCCGATCGTGATACAGAAAAATAGTGATGATCATCTCATGGCCCTCGGCCTGTCGGTGAGTGATAATCGTCTCGCGGCCCTCGGCCGTGCTGGTGATGTGTCAAGTCTCTCTCCCGATTGGCTGTGGGAAGCCAATCGTCTGTCAGGACTCCTTTCGGGAAGGAATGGTGAGCCTGAAATAAATCTGGGTGATGTCCCTCCCATCTGATCTGAGGAGCTAGTCTTCGTTCGTCTACCGTATCCGTGGTCCTATGTACGGACCGCTAAGCGGTGTACACTCGGCACGCACAGACTCCGGTAAAGAACTGGTCCATCGTGTCTGATCCATGGAGCTGGTCTTCGTTCGTCTACCGTATCCGTGGTCCTATGTACGGACCGCTAAGCGATGTACACTCGGCACGCACAGACTCCGGTAAAGAACTGGTCCATCATGTCTGATCCATGGAGCTGGTCTTCGTTCGTCTACCGTATCCGTGGTCCTATGTATGGACCGCTAAGCGGTGTACACTCGGCACGCAACAGACTCCGGTAAAGAACTCGGTTCTTCGTTCTTCCCAAGTCTCGTGAGTACTGGTCTCCTGGTTTCGCAGGAGACGTTCGTCATCCCAACTATGAGAAGAAACAGGTTTATCCACGTCGGGATTCCCTATTCTTCGTTCGTCCCTGTCGTGGTCCTACTAATCTTCTTACTTCGAAGAAGACGTTTGGTCATCCAACGATCGCAAGGAGGAACAGGTTTATCCACGTCGGGATTCCCTATTCTTCGTTCGTCCCCGTCGTGGTCCTACTAATCTTCTTACTTCGAAGAAGACGTTCGGTCATCCAACGATCGCAAGGAGGTCACTGGTTTATCCACGTCGGGATTCCCTGCTTCGTCGTCCCATGCTCGTGGCCCTACTAGCCTTCTGCTTTGGCAGAAGGTGTTCATCGAACCACGGGTCATGGGAGGAACTGGTTTATCTTGCCGAGGTTCCCTTTGGTACGTCTAGCCCCCCCCACGTTCCTACTAGCCTCCGCGTCGGGAGACGTTCGTCATACGCGGCGAAGGAAGATCAGACATACCTCGTCAAGACTCCCTCTCTCATAGGATCTCGTCTCCCCTTCTCCCCATCTTTTTTTTTTTTCTTCTTTTTTTTTTTTTTTTTTTTTTTTGAGGGAGGAAAATACGTTCGTCGGTTCCAAGAGTAACCACAAGTGATGTCACACATAATGGTGGTGGGATATCAAAATGAATAGAATGACGAGGCGATGGAAATGCTGGTCGTCATGCGAAGGCGATGGTCACCCTCCTGAAGGGAGGGGTGAGCCCGATCGCTAACTCAAGAAGGTCGGCATTGGGAGCCGATATACAATGATCATAATGTCGCTGAGCAGTCGGTCCTGATAATGGAGATGGCAATAGTGTCTAGTCAGGCCGATATATCCGAGCAACGGCTCTCATCCAACGCAGCGCGGGGATGAAACCGGTCTTCAAAAGATAAATATGTCGTGCCGAGAGGCCGAACATAACATGATAGTGTCGGCAGTAAGAGGCCGACCTGAAAGAATCAAGCAATGGTCTTCGTCCGCGAGGGCGGGGACGAGGCCGGTCTTCAAATATGATAATCACGCCGGTCCGAGAGGCCGGTCGTGATATAATGATGTCAGCGATGAGAGGCCGACCTGAAAGAAATCCAGCAATGGTCTTCGTCCGCGCAGCGCGGGGACGAGGCCGGTCTTCAAATATGATAATGACGCCGTACCAGGGGGTCGGTGGCCATGTAACAGTGTCGGCCTGGGGGGCGATCTGAGAAAATCAAGCAACGGTCCTCGTCCGCGAGGGCGGGGACGAGGCCGGTCTTCAAAGATGATAATGGCGCCGTACCAGGGGGTCGGTGGCCATGTAACAGTGTCGGCCTGGGGGGCAATCTGAGAAAATCAAGCAACGGTCCTCGTCCGCGAGGGCGGGGACGAGGCCGGTCTTCAAAGATGATAATCACGCCGGGCCGGGGGGGCCGAACATGATATGACAGTGTCGGCAATGAGAGGCCGATCTGAAAGAATCAAGCAACGGCCCTCGTCCGCGAGGGCGGGGACAAGGCCGGTCTTCAAATATGATAATCACGTCGGGCCGAGAGGCCGGTCATGATATAATGGTGTCGGCGATGGGAGGCCGACCTAAAAATCAGGATGGTCTCACGGCCCTCGGTCGTGATGGTCTCCTCTAGGCCCTCGGCCTCCGAATGATGGATGATCGTCTCACGGTTCTCTGTCATGGCATTCGCCTCTAGATCCTTGGCCTCTAGGTGTTCTCCCTAGGCCATCGGTCTCTGGGGTGGAGATGCCCGTCCCACGGTTCTCAACCGTGGTGGTCTCCTCTAGGCCCTCGGCCTCTAGGTGGAGATGCTCGTCTCACGGTCCTCAGCCGTGATGGTCTCCTCTTTAGCCAGCCCTGCACGTCTTCAAGACTCGGGCCGAGCGTCTTCTAATCATTTCGCTCAAGCGCGTCGAGCGGCTTCGGCTGCGCAATAAGCATGGTAACGGGCCGCACGGCCCGATAATAAATATGCACACATAACCATCTGCATGGGTCATCGTGGCTTCCCTCTAACACCCACGATTACCGGCCTATGGGTCATCGTGACCCTCGACCCGGCTCATCGTGCGGGGTTAATGGACGTAGCAGCTTGCGGCGGGGCCAATTAGCAGCCTGCCGAACGTCACATAGAAATATTCACCGGTCCGTGAGTTTTCAAACTCAGACCCAAGTTGGTCGCACTACCCTCGAAAAAATGAGGTTGAGCACTTCGGTGCCCTCGGGCCCCACAGGCCGCGTTTGGCACAGTCACTTCGCCTAGTGGCGTAGATGGTACTAGGGTACGATCGTCGCTCGGGCACTTGGTGCCATGCGGACCAATGCGTAACCCCTCAATTAAAATGCGTCGTCGGGGCATCGCCCTTTTGGAGACGCTCAGATCGCTTAATCAAGCTGATCGAGAGTGGACCCACGGGCCCACAAGAAATTAAATACTTAATAAAATGTTAGCTGAACTAACCATCACTTGAGCCTCGCTCGACATTATTTAATTCGGGACATTTTACCCCTAATAAATAATAGTGACATAACCGGTAATAGCAATGATACTTCCCTATCGAAGGCCATTCAAGTATACTCCGTTCGCTAATTAAAGCCGATCAGGAGCGGGCCAACAGGCACACAACAACCAGTCATTAAATTTAAATGACGGTAAAACTAATTATCACTTAGAGCATCGCTCTCATTATTTAATTTCGGGAGTTTCAATCCCTAATAAATAATGGTGATACAAATTAATTGCAATATTTAATCATGCTTCATTATTCGAATACTTAAATAAAGGGAGTAAGTGGCACTTAGCTTCCAAGTTAAAGACTCGGCCAGTAACGAGGCTATGTAGAGCCAGATTTGCTTCCCTTTTATCATATTGTGCAGACCCAGCTGCTGGTCAACTCTTCCAAAGCAGCCAACCTTCTATTCTTGGTCCCAAAACTTGCGGACGTGGTCAGCTTCAGACCAAGGCATTTACGCGGAGTGTACCTCTTAGGACAGACAGATGGAACAGCCTTCTACCAACCCATCAGCAGGCTGCACGTGCCGGCCACCTTCCGTCGGTGGAGATGGTGGTCACGGCAGAGCAAGGCCGGCCAGAGGGTGTAGTTTCGTTGGGAGATCTTTTGAGCTTCAGATTTTACTTCCTTTGAGCTTAAAAAACACCATTAATGGCGGAAATCAAACTCCCAGTCGGCAGGTCCTCAGGTCACAGCGGTCGAACAGGATGGCTGGTGGAGGCTCGCCCCGTGACTGACCAGGCGGAGGGGTAGTCGGTGGTTGACCGCCGGCGGCGAGCGGCGGTGCGGCGACTTTAGGCGGCAGAAGCAGCTGCGCGTGACGAGCAGCTGTGTTGTAGGTGCTATGAGATTTGGGGTGCTTAAGCGAGCTTTTTCTGGTGCCGGCTAACACCACGGAGGCTCCCTGCCGGCGGGTACGGCGGTGGCTCCGGCGACTTCAAAAACAGACTTGGAAACAAAAATCCAGATTTGGCTTCCCAATTTCTGTACCTTCTTCGTTTCTTCTTCCCTCAGAGCCATTTCTTTCCTTTTTTCTTTTCTGGAATCCAGTTCATCCGTATGATTTTTTTTAGAAACCCAAGAACAATAGAACACATGAATCTTTTTGGACAGATTCCCACAGACGGCGCCAGTGTTGAGTTTAATCCAACACGATATAGTAAATATATGTATAAATGTGTATGAACAAACTATTTTTACGTGGAAACCCGAAAGGGAGAAAACCACGGGACTTTTTAGGCTAATGTCCAAGCCCTCTCAATTCTCATTAGGCTCTCCTCACCATTACATAGTACATTTTGAGCTCCATTCATGGAGTATTTGAGCTATTCTAGAGGGAGAAGGAAGAAGGAAGTCCTTTACATGGAGGGAAAACCTCCTATAAATAGGGGAAGGGGAGAAGGGGCTCTCCACCCTAATGGGCCAAACGGGCCAGAGTGGGCCCAAATGGCTAAAGTGGGCCGGATGGGCCGAAATGGGCCTAGCTGCTCGGGCTCCGTACTACGTAAAGCCTTGGACTCATGAACAGTAATAGGCCGGGATAATATATCCCAACAGGAAGAATGGGAAGATGGGAAATGGGGTGAAAGACGTAAATGTTATGCAAGGAGAGAGAGAGGATGTTAAAAGAGTTGTTGGGTGAGACAGTACATATGCGACATGCTTGACAGGATGGAAAGTGGACAATCTAAAATTAAATGTGATAAGGGTAAGATAGGAATTTAAAAGGCACGGTCCAATTTAAATGGAATAAAGACTCCTATATTGGGAATTTAAAAGGCACGGTCCTGTTTTTGCATCTTTCGTATGTTCAAGTCCTATTCATGTCAATTTCTTTTTTCTTATTTATCTTTACACTTTCCTTTTTCCAGTGTAATATTAAACTTTACAATTCCTTATTTGTCTTACAAATCTACACTAAACAGTGCAAAACAGTATCAAACAATGACAAAAAGTACCAAATAGTGTTAAACAGTGTAAAGTCAATTTATTTTCTTAATATTTGTAAAGTCAAAGTGTAAAGATGAATAAGAACCAGTGGGAGTATTTAACTTGTGAATCCATGTTCCCTCCATATATAGAGCGGGGATGAAAATTAACATTTGTGGTACGTGTACGACTGTACCTATATAGAACTCCACTTTTATGAAAACTATAAACGTTGACCAATATGTACATTTCTCCTATTAGGATGAGAATTCATTTTAAAATGAAAATATCTAACCTTCTTACAAAACATGGATGCGCAATCCAATATTAATATTTGACTTATAAAAAGCTTTCAATTTTTATGAGAGACAATTTTTTAAAATAATTTTATACCAAATAGTATATTGAAACGTTCACCTCACGGATTATAACATGTTAGAACTTAATTCCATTAAAAATGAGACTGTGGATCCTTATATATTTTCCCTCCAAATTGACCAAAATATTAATTTGTTAAATCATTTCTAAAACAAATATTAAATTACAAATACATTAACAACAGTATAATTAATCATATTATTAATTATGTCGTTTTTTGTCGTTTTTGAATGTTTTTTACAATCTTGGTATCAAGTATGTTGCTTATCAATGTTCTACATGAATTATGGAAATGCTCTCAATATTTATTTAATACTACGTAATAGCTAGGCCAAAGAAAACATTCAATCAATTTATTTGGATTCTTATGCCCAGGGTTGCTTTCCTCCCAAACTTGATTTTTGTTGGAAACTAGAGAATTTGGATCCATGCCATTCCATTTGTTTGAACTGAAACAAATTAGAGATCTTAATTCTCTACGACGCCTAGATGATAAAATATTTTCAATACGAAGCGGATCACAAATATTGTTCTCTTCGGCGCGAATTATTGGTTGTTTTACATATTTTTGATTAAGAATTTGTTTACTCTTTTGAACCAATGAAAGAACTATGATTTGATACATAAGGAATTCTCCATTTGGTTTGATAGACAGCGGAAGGGGGTCGACCAAAATTCCCGTCTTTTTAAAAAAAATCTAGAACACTCTCTTTTGAATTCGGAACACTCTTTTGAATCTCGAACATTTCTAACATTTGGCCGTTTTTTAATTTATACTCCGTATGAATTAAAATTAATTTGATGAACGAACATATGAGTATTCACTGTATATCGAGTCTCAAAAATGAAAAGAACACAAGATATTAATATCCATGTTTCTATGATCCATCAGGAGCATGTGTAGGCAATTTTCATTATCTAATATCTATGACATACGGATGTTTAAATTTCTGTATACCTTTCCATAAAAATATCCGAAAAAAGATTCATACAATGTTTTTAGTATTAAAATATTAAAGGGAAAACTATCAAATAGGTTCTCGAACTTTCATAAAAAGGTCAATTAAGTCCTTCTATAGGAGGTTCTGTCCGGCCGTCGCGATTTGGGACAGTTCCCGGTGGAATTTTTTGATGAAATTTTTTGAGCAACTTATTGACCAAGACTAGTTTACTCATACTAAATTTCAGCTAAAAACTCAATCGGAAACACATTCAAATTAATTCTTGAAGATAACTGCGCATTTTTGCGTTCTCGAATTAATTTGAATGCGCTCCCAATTAAATTATTAGCTGAAATTTGGTATGAGTAAATTAGACTTGTTGAATAAAATGCTAAAAAAAATCATCAAAAAATTTTACCGGGAACCACCCCAAATCGCGACGACCGGACAGAGTTTCCTATAGAAGGACTTATTTGACTTTTTTATGAAAGTTCGAGGACTTATTTGACAGTTTTCCCAATATTAAAACATACTCGTTCTTGCAAAAAAAAAAACATACTCGTATTAATTTACATGATTTTCAACCATTTAAGGCTATGTTTGCCTGTTTGATATACCTAACTCAAAAATGTTTTTGTGAACATTTTAGTGACCGTTAATTTTATTGATTGAAAAATCTTGGGAAAAGGGGTAAATAAGCACTCGAACTAATAAAAAAATGCAAATAAGCCCTTTGGTAGGAGGTTCTGTCCGATCATCGTTATTTGGGGAGGTTCTCGGTGCAATTTTTTGATGAATTTTTTTGATCATCTTTTTCATTAATTCTAGTTTAGTCATACCAAATTTTAGCTAAAAATTCAACTGGGAAGGCACTCAAATGATTTTCAGAAATATACTGCTTTGTTTAACTGCGCAGTTATCTTCAAAAATTCATTTGACTGTCTTCCCGATTGAATTTTTAGCTGAAATTCGGTATGACTAAACTAGACTTAATGAATAAGATGCTCAAAAAAATTCCACCGGCAACCTCCTACAAAAGGGCTTATTTGCACTTTTTTTATTAGTTCGAGGGCTTATTTGCCCCTTTTCCCAAAAATCTTAAAAGAAAAATTTATAACTGCTTGATAGAAATGACTACTTAGGGTCTATTTGTAACAACTTCTGCTTTTTAAAAAAGTGCCTTTTTAATGAAATGGGGAGAAATGATTAAATAAAAGTTGATAGTGTTTGAGAAAAAAGTGATTTTGAAAAGTAAAAGTTGATAGTATTTGGTAAAATAAGTGTTTTTTGTGTAATAGAAAAGTAAAAGCATTTTTGACACGAAAGCCGAGAAAAATAAAAGTTGTAGTGTTTGGTAAAAGAAGTGTCTTTTTAAAGCCAAAAGCCGAGAAGTGCTTTTTTTAAAGCGTTTGCAAAGCAACCCTCAGTTTAGTTCCTTTTAGTTTAAGAAACTGTTATTGCTAAAAGCTACTCATATATAGTTGGGAAATTTACCCCAATATTACTAAAAGAGAGGAATTCCTATTATATGACTAAATAACTTAATTGATCAAAATATGACCAAAAATAACTAACGGTGTGTACCATAACTGAAAACAAGCATTAGAAAGTTTCCACCAAATGCATTTGGAACGTGGCTAGCATACCATTCTTCCACCAAATTAGGAAAAATAAAGATTAAGTCATAGATTGAGAAATAGATACTCTTTTAGTTTTAGTCATATGATAAATAATTTTCACTATATACTTTTTCTCAGATCTTTTATTCTGACTGGAGCCCAGCGGAGGCTGAAGCTATGGGGATTAGGGAGGCTTGTCAGGCAGCACTTCAGGAAGGCTGGGAGTACATCGAGCTGGAGTCTGATGCCCAGACAGTCATATGCGGCATTAAGGGAGGGAGGGGGGGGGGGTTCAGCATACATGGATCTTATTATTGATGATATACGGAATATTTTGAGTACTAAGAGCAATTTTCATGTCTCTTATTGTCCACGATCTGCGAATCGTGTTGCTCATAAACTTGCTAGAGCACATGTTTCCATCTCAGATCATAGTTGTAGTTATGATATCATGCCAAATTGTATTGTAAGCCATTTGGCGAACGATCTTTTGATTTAATAAAGTGATTAGTCTCGGTTTCAAAAAAAATTACCCAAACATACAATTTTAGGCATTAATAACGCCTAAAATTAATATGTCAAACATACAATTAGTAATGTCTACCAAAAGTGAACTAAATCTTAGGCGATTGACTTATTTTGACTTTTATTACCCTGGCTTTTTATCAAGACAAATAAAAGGGAATTTTCTAAAAAGCAGTAGATATAGACATACAGTAGTGTAAATTTAAACACAGAGACTAAATACCAGCGCTGGTTCCCATGCCAACGTTTTGATAACAAATCATCATATATGTAATATGTCACGCTATTTTACTAGTTAAGGGAGGGTTACAGAAAGCCATAGTAAGCTGCAATTCCACATAGTTTCACTCACTGTTCTTATTCCTCAATGTCATCCGAGGCTAAAAGATGATTTAAAGGAACTTTAGCTTTCTTAGTTTCCTTCAAAACTTCATCGTCATCTGCTTTTCTCTTGATAGATTCATCATCTTTCACGTCCCCTTCTTCACCAGCTTTGGCCTCAGAGACTTCTTCATTTTCTTCTGCCGAGGGATGTAGGTTGGTTTCATTACCGTTTTCTCCACTCTTAAGAGCCTCTCCGATAGAAGTGGTTTCACATTCACGCAGAAATGATTGGATGTCCTCATTGGTGGCAAGATCCAAAGGAGTCTTGCCTGCTTTGTTTTTAACACTAATATTTGTGTATTTCTTCACTAAATACTTGACAAGTTCCAGATTAGACCCTTGAGCGGCGTAGTGAAGGGCAGTCATACCCTTGCGATTGACTGATTTTACTGATACTCCGGATGTAAGAAGAGTACGTACAACCTCTAGATGGCCTTTCTGGGCGGCGAAGTGAATAGCACCCATGTCATCCATGGCAGCAGCACCCACATCAGCCTTGTTCTTGCATAGATAGTTCACTACTTGTGCATGTCCAGACCACGCTGCTAGATGGAGTCTGGAGTTCAGTTCAAGATTGATCAGTTAGCGGAGGAAAGGGCGTAATTAGACTAATATAATGAATGGAAATAATACAGAAATAACACACATTGCAATTAATCTAGTGCAAATAGAATAAGACATTTTGAAGGGTAAGATCAAAGTGAAATTTGTGGCGATCTGGCATATTTTTTACCTTGCCAAATGGTCCCTTTGTCCTATTTCCCATTTAGTCTGTCCAAAAGTAATGTCTACTTTCCCAATTTGAGCACCACTATAACTTTTTCATTTCCTAATTCACCCTTCCTCAAGATAAAATTTTAGTGAATGCACTACAATTTACTTGTTATTACAAAACATGTTAAAGCATCTTACATTTTGGGATATGTTAAATTGCTATTGTGTTTAGGTGGCCCCAAAATCAAATTTTTGATGCCATAACGGCTAAACACCCAGTAAACATGACTTTGAATCCACCCAAACACGCACCAAGTAATAATTAGTATGAATCAGACATCCTCTTTCATCTCTTTGACCAACTGAAATCATAGACAGTTAGACATAACAACACAAGCCAAAAGGTGAGTTTCAGCCTGACTAAAATATTGAGACACACCATTTGATGGGTTA